AAAGCCTCACACCACAGTCTCCACAAACAACTGCAGCCAAAGCCACAGAGTAACTCACAGACATGGCGACATTGAGAGCAGCCAAAGAAATCACATGGAGGCCAGGCGCAGTGGCTCACGCCTGTAATCCTAGCACTTTGGGAGGCCAAGGTAGGTTAATCACTGGAGGTCAGGGGCTCAAAACCAGCCTGGCCAACATGGTAAAACCCCATCTCTAGTAAAAATACAAAAAGTTAGCCGTGCATGGTGGTGCGCACCTATAGTCCCAGCTACTCAGGAGATTGAAGCAGGAGAATAGCTTCAACCCGGGAGGCAGAGGTTGCAGTGAGCCGAGATCGCACCACTGCACTCCAGCCTGGCAACAGAGCAAGACTCCTTCTCAAAAAAACAAAAAGAAGAAGAAGTGCCTTTTGCCTCCTGCCATGATTCTGGGGCCCTCCCCAGCCATGTGGAACTGTTAAGTCCAATGACACCTCTTTGTGTTCCCAGTTTCAGGTATGTATGTGTATCAACCGCATGAGAACGAATACAGTAAACTGGCAGCAGTAGAGTGGGGCGTTGCTGAGAAGATACCTGAAAATGTGGAAGCAACTTTGAAAGTGGGTAACAGGCAGAGGTTGGATGGTTTGGAGGGCTCAGAAGACAGGAACGTGTGGGAAAGTTTGGAACCTCCTAGAGACTCACTGAATGGCTTTTACAAACATGCTGATAGGAACAACAAGGTCCAGGCTGACGTGGTCTCAGATGGAGATGAAGAACTTGTTGGGTACTGGAGCTAAGATGATTCTTGTTGTATTTTAGCAAAGAGACTAGCAGCATTTTGCTCCTGCCCTAGAGATTTGTGGAACTTTGAACTTGAGAGAGATGATTTAGGGTATCTGGCAGAAGAAATTTCTAAGCAGCAAAGCATTCAAAAGGTGACTTGGGTGTTGTTAAAAGCATTCCGTTTTAAGAGGGAAACAACATAGAAGTTCAGAAAATTTGCAGCCTGATGATGCAGAAAAGAAAAACCAATTTTTTGAGGAGAAATTCAAGCCAGCTACAGAAATTTGCATGAGTAGCAGGGAGCCTATCCTCAAGACCATGGGGAAAATGTCTCCAGGCCATGTCAGAGACCTTCATGGCAGCCCCTCCCATCACAGGCCCAGAGGCCCAGGAGGAAAAAGTGGTTTCATGGGCCAGGCCCAGGGTCCTCTTGCTGTGTGTAGCCTAGGGACTCAGTGCCAGGTCCCACTCCAACTGTGGCTGAAATGGGTCAATGTACAGCTCGAGCTGTGGCTTCAGAGGATGGAAGCCCCGAGCCTTGGCAGCTTCCACGTGGTATTGAGCCTGCAGGTGCACAGAAGTCAAGAATTGAGGTTTGGGAACCTCCACCTAGATTTCAGATGTATGGAAACACTTGGATACCCAGGTAAAAGTTTGCTGCAGGGTTGGGGCCCTCATGGAGAACCTCTGCTAAGGCAATGCAGAAGGGAAATGTGGGGTTGGAGCCCTCACGCAGAGTTCCTCCTGGGGCACTGCCTGGTGGAGCTGTGAGAAGAGGGCCACTGTCCTCCAGACCCCAGAATGGTAGATCCACTGACAGCTTGCACCATACTCCTTGAAAAGCTGCAGACACTCAACGCCAGTCCATTAAAACAGCCGGCAGGGAGGCTGTACCCTGTAAAGCCACAGAGGTGGAGCTACCCAAGACCATGGGAACCCAGCTCTTGCATCAGGGTGACCTGGATGTAAGACCTATAATGGATATCCTTTTGGAGCTTTAAAATGTGACTGCCCTGCTAGATTTTGGACTTGCATCGTCCCTGTAACCCCTTTGTTTTGGCCAATTTCTCCCATTTGAAATGGCTATATTTATCCAATAACGGTACCCTCGTTGTATCTAGGAAGTAACTACCTTGCTTTTGATTTTACAGGGTCATAGGTGGAAGGGACTTGCCTTGTCTCCGGTGAGACTTTGGACTTTTGGGTTAATGCTGAAATAAGACTTTGGGAGACTGTTGGGAAGTCAAAACATGTTTGGTTTTGAAATGTGAGGACACGAGATTTGGAGGGGCCAGGGGCAGAATGATACGGTTTGGCTGTGTCTCCATTCAACTCTCAACTTCAATTATATCTCCCAGAATTCCCACATGTTGTGGGAGGGACCCAGGGGAGGTTAACTGAATCATGGGGGCTGGTCTTTTCCATTCTATTCTCATGATAGTGAGTAAGTCTCACGAGATCTGATGGGTTTATCAGAGGTTTCCACTTTTGCTTCATTTTTTCTCTTGCCACCGCCATATAAGAAGTTCCTTTCACCTCCTGCCACAATTGAGGCTTCCCCAGCCATGTGGAACTTTAAGTCCAATTAAACCTCTTTTTGTTCCCACTTTCAGGTAGGTGTTTACCAGCAGTGTGAAAACAAACTAATATAGACTGGAAGCCTTGTGACAGGAAGACCGAACATCTGAGATGTTTATAGAAAAAAAAAAAAAAAAGATCTGCCTACATCCAGTCCTTGAGTTCCAGTAGAATGATTTATTGAACAACATTACTCCTTCAGCTCCATTCCAGGAGACAGGAACCCCAGAAACAGCAGGACGGTAGGCATCATCAGAATTGTGTATGAGTTGTGCTTGTGTGTGTGTTGAGGAA